ATCTATACTAAGTATAGATTACTATATATTATATCTATATCTATACTTTGTATAGATATAGATATAAAGTATAGATATAAATATAGGTTCAATATATATTTATAAGACTCAAAATTAAAAGTACTAATTTAATTTTATTTTAAACATATATAACTTTAACAATATTGTCACAGTTATGTAACAATGTTATAACCATATAAGTATAACATTGTTCTAGTTATATTAAAAGTTACATGGCTAGTCGTATAATATATATATATATATATATATATATATATATATATATATATATATATATATATATATATATATATATATATATATATATATATATATATATATATCTATATATATATATATCTATATATATATATATATATATATATATATATATATATATATATATATATATATATATATATATATATATATATATATATATATATATATATTAAGGTTACCAATATCAAGCAATATTTCACATTCACCAAAAAAAGTACAATCATTGTATTTAAAGAGTATATCAGATCGAAAACTTTTTACTGAGAGTGTTATTTCCTCAGGTGCAAATAATATTGATTGTGAAGTGAACTCTGACAGTTAGTTAACAATTTCTGATTCTGAAACTTACCCATTAGAGTCATCAGATTTTGAAACAATTGATGATGTTAACAATGATGAACTAAAAAATGATTTTGATGCAGTGGGCAGTTAAGTTTGCTATAACCGATGAAGCATTAGCATCTTTGTTAAAAATTTTGGTTAAATTGTTTCCTGATTTGCCAAAGGATCCACGCACTCCAAGTCAAAGTCTTTTGTACCTGTTACCAATATAACTGGAGGAGAGTATTGTCATTTTGGCATTAGACAAGGTATTTTAAGTAATATTTCAAGTTTTTTAAAGAAAAAGGATTGTATATCAATTTAAGTCAACATTGATGATTTACCATTGTTTAAAAGCAGCAATGGCCAATTTTGGCCAATATTAGGTTTAATAAAAAATGTGGATAAACAATATTCAACACAATAAAACCCCATTTATAATCGGTCTTTTTTATAGTAGGTCTAAACCAAAAGACTGTAATGAATTTCTGAAAATGTTTGTTAATGAAAGTATTGCTTTATTTGATTCTGGTATTAGTATTAATGGTAAAGTATATAAGTTTGCTATATCAGCTTTTATTTGTGGTACACCAGCTAGATCATTTATAAACGGAGATAAAGGACATAAAGCCTTTTAATAAATGTTATGCAATATTTAATGGCATTAATTTGATATCTATTTTTTTTTTTTAATTTTTTAAAAATATTGTTTAGTATATTATATACTGAAGAATATTTTTAAAAAACAAGGATTGAATTAACGCATCGCGGTTTGCGATATCTGTTAAATTATCTGGTCTTCAATGTTTCAGTTTATGGAAAACCACGAAATTTACTGAATAGGCGAATAAACTTTAATTTGTAAGTGAAAATGTTATGAAAAACAAAACATTAAATTTATGACTACAAAAGTATTAATACTACAGTGTTGTTACTTTTATAACACTCTTTTATGTTACATTTATAGTTTATTGTTTGATCAAACAACACATATTTAAGATATTATAAATAAAAATGATTTAGTTAAGTAATTCCAAACTTTAATTAAAGTAGTAATGCATCTTTAAAAAATACAATGGATATTTAAACAATGTTAAAAACCTTAGCAACTTTTACGAATACATACTTTTATAAACAGTTAAGCATTTTTAAACATCTTACTAACGGTCCGGAAAAAACGCGTGTTCACTTTAAAATCGACCAATAAAAAAACGGGTAATTTACTTCTTAGGAGAAATCTATATTAAAAGGGGAAGGGGGGGGGAGGAGGCTATAAACTTAAATTTTGTTTTATTATTTAATCAATTAAATCATAATAAAAGTAAAGACAAAAAATATATTTCTCAATATACTTCTTTATAACTAAAATTTATTAAATTGAACACCTCTGTTTTTAGTTTTAAGTAAATGTCAGTACTACTCTCGGTGGCGAAACTGCGGGGGGAGGGGGCGGAGGGGCTTTGGTTAACAGACAAAAAGTGTCCTGATTTTAAATTAATTTTAGGTTGCATGGGCAATATGGGGCTGATTTTGAAAATCGTGTTATTTGTTTATAACAAGTCACTTGTTATAAACAAAAAACTATATCTCAAAACAAAAATTCAGTGAAAATTGGCCTTAAAATTAAAAAATATATATATTGGTAATCAATAAATAATAAAACTTTCATTGTAAATCCTCCCCCTTTTTTTATCATTTCCTCCTCCCATTTTATACATCCTAAAATTAGCTTAAAAATAGGACACTTTTTGTCTGCTACCCCCCCCCCCCCACTGCAGTTTCGCCACTGAGAGTAGTACTGACATTTACTTAAAACTAAAAACAGAGGTGTTCAATTTAATAAATTTTAGTTATATTTAGTTATAAAAAGTATATTTAGAAATATTTTTTTTTGTCTTTACTTTAATTATGATTTAATTGATTAAATAATAAAACAAAATTTAAGTTTATAGCCTCCTCCCCCCCCCCTCCCCTTTTAATATAGATTTCACCTAAGAAGTAAATTATCAGTGTTTTCATTGGTTGATTTTAAAGTGAACGCGCGTTTTTTCCGGACCGTTAGTAAGATGTTTAAAAATGCTTAACTGTTTATAAAAATATGTAAAAGTTCGTAAAAGTTGCTAAGGTTTTTAAAATTGTTTAAATATCCATTGTATTTTTTCAAGATGCATTACTACTTTAATTAAAGTTTGGAATTACTTAACTAAATCATTTTTTTATTATAATATCTTTATTATGTGTTGTTTAATCAAACAATAAACTATAAATGTAACATAAAAGAGTGTTAAAAAAGTAACAACACTGTAGTATTATTACTTTTGTAGTCATAAATTTATTGTTTTGTTTTTCATAACATTTTCACTTACAAATTAAAGTTTATTCGCCTATTCCGTAAATTTCGTGGTTTTTTATAAACTGAAACTTTGAAGACCAGATAATTTAACAGATATCGCAAATCGCGATGCGTTAATTCAACCCTTGAAAAAATTATTTAAAAAAATAGATAATAAATTAATGCCATTGAATATTGCATAACATTTATTAATAGGATTGTAGATGAGAATTTAAATCGTGATATTGAATCTTACTAGAGAATAAAGTAAGATTAATTTTATTATTTTGATATTATTTGTTTTAATGTTATTTTTGAAAAAAAAACAAAAATAAAATCTGGAGTCTGTCTACTGTTTGATTTGTTTGATTATATTAAATTTAAATATAACTATATATAAAATATAAAGTTATTAAACTATATATAAAATATAAAGTTATTGGTGGAAAGCTAAATTAACTTGGTATTTAACCGGTGAAGCAGATGAATAAAAATTTAAAATTTTTTTATTTTACAAGCCATTATTTTAAAGGATTACTTTAAGAATTCCGTTCAAACATGCTTGTAATTTAATGTTGCATTTATGATTTAATATTATTTCTTTACAGGAAACCGTCTACCTCAACTAGAGTTATATTTCATAGAATTATGTTGAGCAAGATCCAAATATTGCCATGGGTGTAAGATAGTTGTTTGATTTGCAAACTGGATTTAAATCATATTTTCTTTAAACATATTTATTTGCCAGGGTTGGAAAAAACCCAGGGTTTTTTAAAAAAACCCAACCCAAATGGGTTTTTTTTGGGTTTTATTGGGTTTTTTTGGGTTTTATGGGTTTTTTGGGTTTTTTTTAAAATCGATCAAAATACCAAGTTTTTATAATTTGTATGAGTACAATAATTTTTTTTTTTAGTTTCATAAATTCACCTCCCTATTGCTCCAATTACCATTTTAGTCAAGGGAGCAACTCATTTTTTAAAAATATTTTGTCTCATACCTTAACATTACCATTTTTACTAACAAACAACATTAACAACTAAAGTTTTTAAACAAAGGCGCTGTGTGGAGAAATAGATTGAGACTTTCAGCAGAGGTAATTTGAACCCCAACCTTCTGGTTGTGAGCCAAATGTTTTGCTACTAGTCTACTAGCACATTTTACCTATAGTGCAAAAAGGGGATCCATCAACTATAAATGATGTTAATTAATTGCTCTAAATTAAAAACATGTTCAGAATATTTTTGACTAAAATAAAATCAGTGTAAAAATTGAGTTATTCAAAGTTGGTAAGACAATATAAATGTTGCAAACTAGTTTTTTTTACTAACATGTTCAACATATCATTTCAAAAACTACTTTGCACAAGTTTACTACGTGTAATCAACAAGTTTGCAACATGATGTTGCAACCTTATAAGTTATTATCAATCAGGATGACTATGAACACTTTTAAACATTTTTGTATCATAGAAGAAAACTGCTAGCCTAATCACTACATTTTTTTTTATCAAAACATTATATTGTCCAGCTTCCTGGAAAAGTTATCGGCCTGATCAACTGGCAAAAAATGGATTTTTGCCTAAACTTTGTTTCTAAATATATATAAAGTAAATTTGTTAAAAACCATACAGTTTCTTCGCCACCAAGTTTTTTTTTCCTTGAAGATGTTTTACCGGCTCAGTTTTGCAATGCAAATTGCAAACTGAATCAAAGTAACACATTATATAGCTCTATTGTGTGTGTGTTTCTTCACCTTTTAGCAACTTGATACTGATGTTAATTTTCAACCCGCTGTTCATAGTTACCCCTGTTGGTGGTACATGTTGTAAACTTGTAACTGATGCAAAATATTCAAAACCTGTCAAAAGACAGATGAGCACGAGTGTCATTTTTACCAACAAATCTTGTCTTTGTGAAATGCATACAAGTTTTCAACATGTTCTCTCGTTGAATGAGCAAACATGTTGCAAGCTTGCTTGCACATAACTTAATTTTTTTTAAGTTTTAAAGTTGTATGCACTTAAGGACAAATCTAGTAAACTGTAGTATTTTTTTTTTGCCTGACAACTTTCCATTTCTAAACTGTAAATAAAGTTTAATAATTTTTATATATAGTATTTTGCTTGTGACTTTGTATTTTTTTTTTGCTGTTAACAACATAAAAAAATAAAAGATCAAATACCAATATAAAGGAATATAGACATTCGGGAGGAGAATAAAGATACTAAATAACTAGTAATGTCTTGAAATTTAGTTAATAGAATGATTTTTATTTCCTTTATAAGTATTTAACTAATTTAATGTTTTAATACATATTTCAATAGCATTTATAATAACTTGCTAAATGTTTTAAAAAAATAATAAATAACCAACTTGCTACAAAAACAGATTGATCGATTTTGGGTATATTCTAAAGACCATTATGTATATAAATACAGTGTTTACAAGAATAATTACAGTATAAAGGTTGCACTTGCTGATAATAAAGCATTTATAAGTGTTAAAATCAGAGATATCAGTTGTAAAATAGGTCATTTTTAAAAAAAACCCAAATATATTTTGGGTTTTTTTGGGTTTTGTTGGGTTTTTTTAAGGTGGGTTTTTTTGGGTTTTTTTGGGTTGGGTTTTTTTTGCCAACCCTGTTATTTGCTCTCTATATGCTTACAAATAATTTATTAAAAAAAATTATGTATTTTTTTAATAAACCGATTTATTTCAATCAATTATTTGACTTTTTATATTTTTCAAGGAATTTTTATAGTATATTAAATTGCGTTTTTTTTTTTTTTTTTTTTTTTTTTTGTATGGTGAAAACTATGTTCAATGTGCAAGCTATATTTTAGTTTATCAAAATATATTTTTATTGATGTGTTCTGTCTCTGATTCTTTCTTTTTCAGATGCGCACTTGTGCCTAAGGCTTATGCTTTATAAATGGTTTACCATTGTACTTAAGTTGCTGTGGGTTTTACTTTCAACCTGGCATATAAGTATCTCATTTTTAAATACTATTTTATTCGTTAAATTAAATTTAAAATTAAAGATAACTTTTTTAATGAAATAACAATTTTTATTGTTCATAAACCCCTCGAGCATATTTATAGGATTAGGTATACCAGGTAGGTTACTGCATATAAAGTTTTAGTTTTTTAAAAAGGCACGCAATACGACTTTATTTTTATATAGCTTTGTTTTTTAAAGTTATTTCCTTAGCTTTTTAATTTAAGCAATGTTTTTGTTGTTTTTTAATGTTTCAAATTATGTTTAAATAATAAAAATTAAATTTATATTTATTCATGTAGATGCACTTAGTATCTGAAGTTATTTGTCAATAACTGGTGATCAGACTATTTCAATCAAATAAGTTTTTAAAGGCTTAAAAGGTTAGTTTATTATCTTTGTTGTAATAGCTCTTAACTTAACTGTTTCAATATTTTCATTATATATCATTGCCTGCGTTTAGGTGAAAGTTAGAAGTCTGGAGACTGCAACGTAAATCAATTTTCAACACATGATTTCCTGAATAAATTTAGTTTTCGATTGAAATGAGAATAAACTGAACTTATAGATATGTTGAAAATTAACTATTTTATATTTTAAGCGTTCGCTAAACGCAAGTGAAGCAATAATCTATAGATGCAAATATAATTTATATTTTGCTTTAGTTTAAAAAAAAATTATTGTTACTTTTATATTCATGTTGTAATTGTAAATTGCAATTTTAAAATAATTTTTATTATAACGTCTGATTTGTCTTTTTGTTCACCGAGCTTAAGCCTTGACACGTATGACCTAATGATTTACAGTTGGGGTAGTGCTTTTCGGTGTAAGGAGATTTTTAGTATAATAAATTCGCATCTTTTCTATATACTTATGCACAAAGTCAAAAGGCATTTGATGTGTCTTCCAGGCATTGGCAGGATTTGTATTTTTTTATGAGTAAAAATTTGAGCTGAAAGATATAAATGATTTTGCTAACGATAAGTGCGTACTGTTCAAACAAAAAAGCAAAAATAATTATAGTTATAGCAATGCATTCAAATCTTAGTCAAAACTTATTATAGATCCTATGCTTTTCCGCTATGGCTTTATCATCGGCTAGCCGATGACGGATCGTTGTTTAAACGTCGATTTGCCGCCATCGGTCCGCTGTCGAACCGCCTTCAGTTTTCCGCTAACGGACCGATGTAAACACGATGTGCAAGCCAACGTGGCAAAGCAGCGGGCGGCCGATGTTGGCTTGCCATAGATGGTGACAGCGGTCCGTTATCGGTCTGCCTGCTTGATGTTTGCTGGGAAGTTTTGACTAAGATTTGAATGCATTGATATAAATATAATTATTTTTATTTTTTTGTTTGAATAGAACGCACTTATTGTTAGCAAAAATCTTTATATCTTTCGGCTCAAATTTTTACTCATAAAAAAATGCAAATCCTGCCAATGCCTGGAAGACATATCAATTATCTTTTGACTTTGTGCATAGGTATATAGACAAATTTTGAATTTATTATACTAAAATTCTCCTACCACCGAAAAACACTACCCCAACTGTAAACTATTAGGTCATACGTGTCAAGGCTTAAGCTCGGTGAACAAAAAGACTAATCAGAAGTTATATAAAAAATCATTTTAAAATTGAAATTTACAATTACAACATGAATATAAAAGTAACAATAATTAAAATATAAAACTAAAACAAAATAAAAAGTATATTTGCATCTATATATTATTGCTTCACTTGCATTTAGCGAACGTTTAAAATATAAAATAGTTAATTTTCAACATATCTATAAGTTCAGTTTATTCTCGTTTCAATCGAAAACAGGAAACCATGTGTTGAAAATTGATTTACGTTGCAGTCTGCAGACTTCTAACTTTCACCTAAAAACAGGCAATGCCTGTTTTTAGGTGAAAGTTAGAAGTCTGCAGCTATATAAAAATAAAGTCATATAAAAAAAAAAGCTATATAAAAATAAAGTCATATTGCGTGCTTTTTTTAAAAAATAAAACTTCATATACAGTAACCTACCTTATTATACCTAATCCTCTAAATATGCTTGAGGGGTTTAAGAACAATAAAAAAAAATTGTTATTTCATTAAAAAAAGTATCTTTAATTTTAATTTCAATATAACAAATAAAATAGTATTTAAAAATTAAATACATATATGCCAGGTTGGAAGTAAAACCGTAAAACCCACAGCAACTTAAGGGCGATGGTGAATTTTTTGCAAAGCATAACCCTAAGACACAAGTGCACATCTGAAAAAGAGAGAATCAGAGGCAAAACACATAGAAAATAATAACATATAAAATATAGTTTGCGCATTGAACATAGTTTTTACCATACAAAAAAAAAACATAGCGCAATATAATATACTATAAAAATTCGTTGCAAAATATAAAAAATCAAATAATTGATTGAAATAAAACGGTTTAGTAAATAAATATGTTATTTTTTCTAATAAATTATTTGTAAGCATATAATGAGCAAATAAATATGTTTAAAGAAATTATGATTTAAATCCAGTTTGCAAATCAAGCATTTATCTTATATCCATGGCAATATTTAGATCATGGTCAACATAAATCTATGAAATATAACTCTGGTTGAGGTAAACGGTTTTCTGTAAAGAAATAATATTAAATCATGTTTTAACGGAATTGTTAAAGCAATCCCCACCACGTCCCCGGTAGTACCGCGCTCAACTCGTTTCTCCGCGCAGCGGCCTTGTTCGTCAAGGTTCGTGTTTCGGAGTTATAAAGTTGAGAGAGGGTTATAGCCACAAAATAAGAAGCCTCCTAGTCTGTAGTGGTTTTCTCGGCCTTAAGGAGGTGAAGTAAAATAAAAATAAAAATCCTTTAAAATAATGGCTTGTAAAATAAAAATTTTGTTAGATTTTTATTCATCTGCTTCACTGGTTAAATACCAAGTTAATTTAGCTTTCCATCAATAACTTTACTTTTTAAAGCTTATAGTTATATTTAAATTTAATATACTCAAACAAATCAAACAGTAGACAGACTCCAGAACTTACATTTTGGATTTTTTTCAAAAATAACATTATACCAATATCAAAATAATAAAATTAAATAAATATCAAAATAATAAAGTTAATCTTACTTTATTCTCTGGTAAGATTCAATATTACGATTTAAATTTTCATCTACAATCTCATATACAAAAGGTTACTGTAAAAGGGAATGAATATGAAAAACACAGAAACAGTAATACTCATTGCACAAAAACTTTACTCTATTGAGTTTAAAAATTAAAATATTTAAAAATATATAAAATAGTTTTCAATAAAAAAAAGATAACAAATTTGTAAATAAGGATGCTTATTTTATTCAACAATGTTATTCATCTTCTGAACTAAAAAATGCCTCTTTATTTCATGGCATTGGAAAACTTGATGTAGACATCACTTTTTTCTTGGCTTGTTTGTTTTTTTGGTCTTGTCTAACTTTTTTTCCGCCATTGCGGTCTGATGCACCACGCAAAAAACGCACAACCTCATATTGAAAATCTGATTCAGTTGCTGAAGTTGTTGCAGGATTTCTTTTTACAGCTCCTAAAAATTAATTTAAGACTTTTATTTAACTATCTAGCAGGAAAACAAAAAATATATTTTTTAACTTAATTTTAAAAACATATAGAATTATTTTAAAGCAATTTATTAACAAATTTTATTTATCTATTTATTAATTATTTCTTTTTATATAGTTAACAAATCAATTTTATTTATTTATCAACTATTTATTAACAAATAGATTAGTAATTACTAATTAGACACAAGTACTTTTTAAATTAGAGCCCCTACAAAAAAAATTGTTTTAAGGAAGTGAAAGTCTTTGTTTTACAAAGTTATTTTCATTGTCATTTATAGTAATACCAGACCAGTTAAGCTTACAGCAGAGGTTATTAGTGAATAACGCAAAAGATATTCTCTGGACAGCCTTCTTTGTCTGTCCAGAGAATATCTTCTAAAGTCTGGCCTCCTTTACTTGCCACAGCTATTATCTACAAAAAACATAGAAAAAGCATCAGTAATATATATACTGAAAAATATTTTGTAAAAAATAAAAAAAAAAGATATCAAATTAATGCCATTAATTATTGCATAACATTTATTAATAGGCTTTATTTCATTTATTGTCCTTCATTTCCATTTATAAATGATCTAGCTGGTGTACCACAAATAAAAGCTGATATAGCAAACTTATATACTTTACCAATAATACTAATACTAGATTCAAATAAAGCCATACTTTCATTAACAAACATTTTTAGAAGTTCATTGCGGTCTTTTGGTTTAGACCTACTATAAAAAACACCGATCATAAATGGGGTTTTATTGTGTTGAATATTGCTTATCCACATTTTTTAAACCTAATACTGGTCAAAATTGTCCAATGCTGCTTTTAAACAATGGTAAATAATCAATGTTGACTTGAATTGGTATACAATCCTTTTTCTTTAAAAACTTAAATTATTACTTAAAGTAATGTTGTGTTTGTCTCTCCTTGTCTAATGCCAATATTTATTATCAATAGATTACTGTCAGAGTTCACTTCACAATCAATATTATTTGCACCTGAGAAAATAGCGCTCTCAGTTAAAAGTTTTCGATCTGATATACTTTTTAAATACAATGATTGTACTTCTTCTGGTGAATGTGAAATATTGCTTTATTTAATGGTAAGATCTTTTAGGCAGTATTCAACATCAGCTATTATCTTTCGTCGTTTTGTCCAAAAGATCACACAAAAGAAACTTATATAAATAGTTTTATTTACTAAAGCTAGTACATATTTCAAAATGTATATATTATATATATATATATATATATATATATATATATATATATATATATATATATATATGTGTGTGTGTGTGTGTGTGTGTGTGTGTGTGTGTGTGTGTGTGTGTGTGTGTGTGTGTGTGTGGTGTGTGTGTGTGTATATATATATTATATATATATATATATATATATATATATATTTATATATATATATAACTTCATATTAGTATAATATTGGTCTTGTTATATTAAAAGTTATATGACTTGTCATGTAATTTTCAATATAAAAAGAACAATGTTATACTAATATAGTTATAAAATTGTTAAATAAATGAAACAATATTGTTAAAGTTGTATATGTTTAAAATAAAATCAAATTAGAATTTTTAATATTAAATCTTATAAATAAATATTGAACCTATTTGTATATCTATACTTTATATCTATACTAAGTATAGATATAGATATAATATATAGTAATTTATATTAAGTATAGATATAGATATAATATATAAGTATAGATATAGATATAAATATAAATTAAAAATATAGATATAAATATAATATATTATAATACAAAATATAGTAAAGTATACTATATATTATATTATATTTAAATCTATATTTATAATTTATAAATATAGATAAAGGTAAAAAATCATGTTAATTTTAATATTTATAAGCAATAATTATAGCTATATTTTATAATATAAAGTATAGATGTAGATTTAATTTATATAACCTATATTGTAAGACTTAAAATTAAAAAGACTAAATTAATTTTTTTTATTACTATTTATTTATTACTTACTGTTTTACATAGACTATGTACTACAGTATAATATATAAAAATTGATCAATGTAAGTCTCATGGCGCTTGAAATGCTTACTTTTGGTGTTTTTACGACATCTTACTGTTATCCGAGAGCCAACTCGGGCATTGTGTTGGCAAAACTTAAGCGTATCATCATAAACTTACCGAAGCTTTCATGCCTATTTAAAATCGGATTGGCAACGAGGTATTTTATCGCTCTTCGGCCAATGGCGGAAAGCCAACACAAAATAGCATGCCGGTCCTACATCAGCTACCCGGCTGCGGTAAGCCGCATTAGCAATCACAAAGGGCCAGCACCGGCATTACGGCGTCGGTTTTGCGCAACGCGGTCCGCTGAAAGCATGTTTGCGTGTGTATAAAATATATATATTATATATGTTTGCGTATATATATATAATATATTATATATGTTTGCGTATATATATATATATATATATATATATATATATATATATATATTATATATATATATATATGTATATATATATATATATAATATATATATATATATATACATATAAATATATATATATATTCTATTATATATATATATATAATATATATATATATATATATATATATATATATATATATAAATATATATATATATATATATATATATATACATATATATATATATATATATATATATATATATATATATATATATATATATCTATATATATATATATATATATATATATATATATATATATATATATATATATATATATATATATATATATATATATATATATATATATATATATATAAATATATATATATATATATATATATATACATATATATATATATATATATATTATATATATATATATATATATATATATATATATATATATATATATATATATATATATATATATATATATATATGTATATATATATATATATATATATATATATATATACATATAAATATATATATATATCATTTATTATATATATATATATATATATATATATATATATATATATATATATATATATAAATATATATATATATATATATATATATATATACATATATATATAAATATATATATATATATATATATATATATATATATATATATATCTATATATATATATATATATATATATATATATATATAATATATATATATATATATATATATATATATATATATATATATATATATATATATATATATATATATATATATATAATATATATATATATATATATATATATATATATATATATATATATATATATATATATATATATATATATATATATATATATATATATATATATATATATATATATATATATATATATATATATATATAGATATACATTATATAATATACTATATATATATATATATATATATATATATATATATATATATATATATACGCAAACATATATAATATATATATTTTTAAATATGTACCAGCTTTAGTAAATAAAATAATTTATGTAAGTTTCAATAATGAGCTTTTGGACAAAACGACGAAAGATTCTGAAACAATTGATGATGTTAACAATGATAAACTAAAAAATGATTTGATGCAGTGAGCAGTTATGTTTGCTATAACCGATAAAGCATTAGCATGTTTTTTAATAATTTTTGGGTAAAATGTTTCCTGAATTGCCAAAGGATCCACGCGCTCTACGTCAAAGTTTTTTTGAACCTGTTACCAATATAACTGGAGGACAGTATTATCATATTGGCATTAGACAAGGTATTTTAAGTATATTTTAAGTTTTTTAAAGAAAAAGGATTGTAATTCAATTTAAGTTAACATTAATGATTAACCAATGTTTAAAAGCAGCATTGGACAATTTTGGCCAATATTAGGTTTAATAAAAAATGTGGATAAACAATATTTAACACAATAAAACTCCATTTATAATCGGTCTTTTATATAGTAGGTCTAAACAAAAAGACCGTAATGAATTTCTAAAAATGTTTGTAAATAAAAGTATTGCTTTATTTGATTCTGGTATTAGTATTAATGGTAAAGTATATAAGTTTGCTATATCAGCTTTTATTTGTGGTGCACCAGCTAGATCATTTATAAACGGAAATAAAGGACATAAAGCCCATTATTAAATGTTATGCAAT